AACTGTCGACTCTTCTGAACTTGACTTTATGAGTTCTGAGCCTAAGAGAACCTGAAAGAACATAGAGATAGAAGATACAATTTTGCTGACAAACATACACCCAACAGAGAGGACCATTGAGGTGCAAAGTGTTCACCTTGCAGTTCTCATAGGAAGCTTGAACAATTTCCTTGTACAAGACCTTGGAATTAACTTTATCCAGAAATTTCAAGTACAAGTCATGAAAATTTGGCTCGATGCTCACTCTAATACACAGGTAGGCGACGCAATGAGAAAAATGTATAAGATAATATTTCATCAATCAAATAAATAGAACACACCTATACCTTTTCATCACCATATACCGTGCAAACCAGGGATAATACTGCTGACACAATATTTCTGCGAAATCTTTTGCTTTAGATTCCATGTTCGCTGCTGAGATATTATTAATTATAAAAGATATTTTGTCCTGAACCTCTGAAGGAGCAGCCTGGAGAAAAGAAAGACAGGATTCTTGTCAAATCTAACATACTGGATAAGTGGATAGACTACATATTGACCAATAAGCTTGAAAGTGGAAGTTAAATGTACAGGTTATGCGATGTAACCTTGTTTGTTCTTCTTCTGATGATCACTAGGTTCACTTTATGTAATAGCAGAAAAAGATAAGCAACAAATAACTTTTTAATGTTTACCTCTATTGGTTTCTCTCGTCTTTCTGCTGCGGTGACTAGGGTTTCTATGTTCAAGGCAGAACCAAACCCTACAATAGATAACGAGGTTGAACTTGATTTCCTTTTTTTCATTAGGAAATTAGATGCACTACCTATTTCATTTCAAATTCTGTAAAAATATTCCAAAATAATAATTACTTGTCGAAGTGGCTCCACGAGATGAATGGACAAAGCCAGCTGAGGTTGATGAGGCAGCTAGACCAGTCACTGAATTCTGCTAGAATCATTATCAACAGGACATGAGAAATATTGCCACTGTAGAAGATGGGATGACAGGGAAAAGGTCGTCACCTTCTGAATGACTGAAGCATCTCCTGAAGTAGTCGCTGAAGATGGTAGAAGCGACTTCACATCATTAGAAGGCATAGCAGGCACCTTGTTATGGTCATCTACAGAAACGGCATTTCTATGTTGAAGCTGAATTGAAGAAGAAAACTGCAATACAGATTGGCCAATTCCAGAACCACTCAACTGCAAAAGAACAAAAAATTTCAGAAACAGCGTGCCAACATCCTTCTCGGCTTAAGAGAAAGGAGCCAATCAATTTAACCAGAAAAATCTTAGGATGTAAACCACCCAGGTCATGAGAAGCTTAAGTATCTTTGACACAAGGGCTAAAGTGCAAAAAATAAAAATACAAGAGAGAGAAAGAATCTAAAACTATACGTAGCAATCTTCTATTTTCTTGTCAAATTCTCAACAAATTAAGCTACCCAATCTACCTCCATAAATGTTCCGAAATAAATCACTGGATCAGAATATAGTCGTCACACCACTAACTAATGAAAAGATGTCAAGCTATTGGCAACGATAGCAAGACGAGAATACATGTGGAATAGACAGACAAGCAAAATATATTACCACACCTCGTCACTTCCAGGGATAGACTGTAGGGAGATAGGGTGATTAACAGAGGCATCTGATTCTGAAATACCAGAAGATATCCGCACAAGGGCTTCCTCGATAACAGAAACTAATTCCGGATGAGTACTACGCAGATGAGATATTTGCAAAATATGGTTGCAGTACTGAGGCAACTCAATGAGACGGATCACGAACTGCTCCAGAGCTTTCGTTCCAAACAAAAACAGCTGCAAAAGCCGAGAGAAAACAACTCATCATCTTACACGGTAAGACACCCATGTTACACAAATGAAACTAAGCAAGAAAACCATACTTTTGAATCCGCAGGTTTACGCAATGCATCCAGTACTCCTCGAAGGGCGATACCAAGAGTGATAGAAGTTATAAGCTGGTGCTTGATAACCGAACCTAAAATTTGTTTGAGTGAGCCACAATAGACAAAAAAGAACACAAATGAAACATTGATATACTCTAGAGAAATACCAGACAGCATGACATTGGAAAGAGTTTAAATGATGTCCAATTAAATAATCCACTAAGTCTGCAGATCATAATTCACATTTTCAGAGATCTTTCTGAAGCACATAATCCGCACATTTACGGAGAAAGAGGAAATGAGACAGTTGCATTACACTAAACTCTGCTGAGCACAAGGTTTGCCAGCATGACTACACATAGCATCATGGTATCCATTGGTTATGGCAAAAGTTAAAAACATTCTTTACATGTCCGATTCTAACTCACCAACGAGGATGGCTGCTATTTTTAGCTGTCTCTCGGGATACTTGGGGAAAAAACGATATTCCTCAAACAGATTTCCAATCATGCATTCAAAAATTGCTTTTTCCCTGCCAAACCCAAAAAAAAATCATGATGTTCTTTATGCATCCATGAGGAGCCTAGCAAAAGTGAAATCGGAAATAAAACTCCTGAAATAGGTATTTTTCCAGCACCTACCTTTTAACTGGTGAGTCCTTATATTGAGCAAGCATTTGGACCATTGCATCAACACTCAACTGGCCGGAAAACATTTGATGGAAATAAGCATTTGCTTCTGCCTCGACATCATCCCCAACTGCAGCAGAAGCTGATGAATCTTTGGCCCCACCATTCTGCAGTTCTGTATTACTATCCAAAATTGCTGCATGGACCTTTTCTATTTCTTCAGACAAATGAGGTGAAGAAACTACGCTAGCATTAGCTTTAAGAACCTGCAGTACAGGCTCAAACAAGTTACTTCCAGAGTTTGAGGCAATAAACAAGCAGAACAAAAACTCAAGTGGGAAAAACTGACCTTCAAAAAGGAAGATGCCGCATCCAGATATAGATCGAATATAGTACCAGAGGGATGGAAAGGTCTGGAAGAAAGACCCTTGGATTCACCAAATTGAATATCCCTGATAAATTTGAGGCACTCCTGAAATATTGCAAGATGAAGTTGAAAGCTTAGTTATCTACTATTTTCCAATCTATGGAGAAACAGTAACAGAAACATTTGAGCAACAAACAGTATATTACCTCAAAGAAAACATCCTTGTACATATATATACAGCTGAACGACCACTTCTCAAAGTCCAAGAAACCTCTCTGTGAAGCAAGGACTGCCAATCCAATGCCATGTGAGATTGGAACTGACTCTAAAACAAATGAGAGAATCTGAAAAAAAAAACAATGATTAGAAGATAGTAGGAAAAAAAAAGCTGATTCCAAGAAAAATAAAACCTTTACAATGAAATGCAGAATAAGTAGAACCGCTGAAACTAAAAGCTAAGGATACTTCTTCGGGTAATCACATGCTTTCATCACAATACAGAGCAATATTGGTTCAATTTTGCATCTAGTTACCTTCAGTTCGTGGCAGATTTCCACTAATCTCATCAACCCATCTGGTTCGAGAGTTTGAGCATCTAAAATCCCCCAAAGAACAAGTTCAGCATTCAGATGCCACAGATCAAGTATAAAACCACTATCCGGTATATTCTTTACTATCATGGGAAGAACAGCAGAAGCCACATCACGCTGAATGAGATTACATGCAGTCTGCAAAATACAGGATTGTACATAAAAAAACATGCCGAAACAAATGACACCTAAGAGCTCAAATAAAGAATAATATTCTTAGAATACACAAGGATAAAGTACTTTGATATGACCCATTCCTAGAAGCAACGTTCTGGGACAATGTGTAAGCGGATACTGAAGCAATGAACGGATTATAGCAGCATGTCCCCTCTCAGCCAGTTCGCAGAGTACACGTAACAGGTCAAGAGATAACCAAGCATTATTGGCAAGTACTAGTTGCTGTTCATGGCTGTGCACGTCATCAACATACGCCTGAAAGAACAGTTTGTCAGAATATGAACAATAAATTAGACCAGAACATTTGTAATATAGACATCCAAATTATCTCACCAGCTTCCTCGCAGTATGCACAAAGGAAAATACTTCCGGCTGTGAAGATATAGCATGCTTAAGAAATGATAATTGCCCCTCCACATTTTTCCAGACAGAACTGCATATGACATCAAGTGGAAATGGATCCTGCAAGAATTAGTTTCACACAATTGAATAACGGACGGGAAATTGATTAAACGGGTATACATCTGAATTTCAAAACTGAATTAAGCCAGTATAAAACCACACCTTGCATGCATTTCTAAACAACAACATGAAGAATGAGAAAGCCTCCATATTAGGGATGTAAAATTCATCATAATCCAGATTCTCAATGACTTGTACCCAGTTAGTGCCAGGAGCCTGCATTGGAAGACAATCTAAGGAACACTGACCTCATGAAACTCAACAATGAAGCAGTAACTACTCCATAAAAGACCGTTAGATAAAAGACAGATAGATGAATATGCAATTTAAAAAATTTTAAAAAAAAAACAGTGAGCTACCAGTGACATTAATGAGATAATTTCCAAGTGCATTAGAATAACTTACAAGCTGCTTGATTGTTTCAACAAGAATCTCTACATTCCACGACTTTAGCAGGGGAAGTTCAATTGAGGAACAGAAACCAAGGGCCCTACTAAATGTAGAAAAGGTATTCTGGTTATCTTCAAGACCAACAAAGGTACGGGCCACCGTTCCAAAGATTCTAGAGATTGTAGCCTCTGTTAAAGGTAAGAAGTGAGACAAGATCTCTTTGCATTGTGTGGCATCAGCGGTGAGTCCATAACCTAGTTCTTCTACGAGATCTCCCACGCTGATCTCCTTTTCAATTTCAGCTAAGATAGCATTAAAGTCATTTACTGCAGTATCATTGAGTGAATGTGTGCCCCTACAGGAAGTAACCATTGAGAGTCAAACCCTATATCAAACAAAATACATACAGATTAAAACCGTCTTCCAGAAGAAAAACTCATATAATCGGAACCTGAAAATATCTGCTCCATGCACATCTTCTGAAAGGAAAGGAGTTAGCACGAAGTGGAGTTCTTCTCTTGACTGAGCAGAAGACAATATCCGAAAAAAGGAATTCAAATGTTTGGAGAGATCCTCAGATTTCCGAAGAAACAAAATGATATTTTGAATTTGCTCAGTTGACTCCATCTGGAAAAGATTGACACATAGCTTCTCAATCTCAGCAACACAGAAGTTCCGCCCTGCAAGAAGAGAGAGAACAAAGACCGTTGTCCACTTATTCTTAAAAGAAAAAGCAAAGCAACAGAATGCATCAAACTTACCACTCATTCTTGCATCTGATCTTTCAAGATCGGACAAGGCAAGAGCAAAGACAATTTTCTCAGATGTAGATAAGCGCAATGCATTTGACAAATCAACCACAAAATCTTCAGTGACATCAACATCTTTTAGCGTGTGAGAAAGAATGGTACTGAAATTTGGCGTCTTCATCGCATGTTTAAAAACCGATGATACCGCTTTCTCGAGCTGCAACCTATTCGCGGGGCTTTTATTAAAGGTCAACCAGCCTAAGCAGGTCAGGACAACCGGAACACTAGTCTCAACTCCATGATCAACAAACTGCCACCGTAAACAAACGACATAAACAATGAGCAAAATAAAGGAAACCAATAAAGCAACTCGGTCAAGATCTATTTCTGATTTCCGTACTCTCAAACTTCTAATGCATCTTAGCAGAAACGGTCTACGCACCAGTAAAGCCTGTCGAGTGTTAAAAAATGTAGCGAGAAACACACAGAATCAACCACAAAGATGACTCAAGCCCTACAAATGAACGTTCTCAATCCCCAAACAGATACAGGAAAAACCCGAAAACATCAAATCGAAACGAATAAAGCTTTCATATCATTCAAAACCCTGGAAAAATGCGAATTTCGAAACTCGGGACTAGCCTAGAAACGCATCGGCGAGGATGAAAGTACGTATATGTGTACACGGAATTTGAAATCAGAAAAGTACGTCACAGAGCTCATGGACGGAGGAGTCAAGGTCCGAATCGTCCAAGTTCTCCAGCAAGAACCGGACATGACTGACGATCGTGGACGGAGGCCCCAACATGGCGATCAGAGATCCGAATCCAAGGAACTTTCGGAACAGAGAGGGCGCTAGGTTTGCAACGGAGACGATCCAAGTGCGAGTGAGAGAAAGGAGGCAGGGAATTACGCGCGTGGAAGAGAGAGGATTGAGAAGATAAATGATCCGTTGCGTCTGTCGTCGGGAATACATGAAATGAAATTATAAACACGCGTGAGGGAGAGGCAATTTTACTCATGACCCACTTGCCTCGCATCTATTTCACGTTTAACACTTTTTTTTTTGCATGAAAAGACGAAATTAACCTTAATGAATACGCGATTTTTATCCGTTCGAAAACAACTTCGTTATTACGACTTCGTAATTAATTCTAAATATAATTACAATTGATTCTAAAAAAGGTGGTAAAAAAATCATCTGTCTTATTTTAGTGGTACATCAGTTATATGTTAGTCGTAATAAGGTCGCAAAAAATAAAACGAAAAGGGTATTTCGGATTTTTCCAATTGAAAAGTGGGTTAAAATTGAAAAAAAAAAAAATTTGTTTGGTGGTGTACACTGAAATTGTTGCGACCGGGTTATTTGACTAATATTCCCTAAGGGACACCCGATTTGCTAAAATATTAAAGGCCCATTTGACCATAATGAAGCCCAGTATAAAATCTTTAGGCCATGAGCCCATTTCGCCCAGAAGAAGGCGCACACTTACTGGACCTCATCGTCTCAAACTTAGGCCCATTTTTTACTCCCCTCGTATTGTGTTTTTTTATTTCTTACGGTCCATAAACTTTTATAAATTTCAAGAGATAAACACAGAGAATCATCTCAAATAAAAAAATATATCGCCGTGTTTCTTTTTAATTAAACGTAGATTTGGGCGTAAGCGTGAGATTCAGATTTCTAGTCATGACGCAAGACTGTGCATGAGTTCTTAGTTTCAGCTGATTTTTATTCGTGACACAATATATGGACCAGGAAGTCTACTTGTTACTTTAAAATATTCCTCCTTAGTTACTCATACACACAGAGATATTCCTCCTAATTTATTCCGCTTCTGATATTTTATATTCAACAGCAGAGAATTGCGCCCATAAATAGATTACGAATGCCATATATAAAGGTCTCACTCTCATTGCCAGATAATATAATACAATGACATTAGACTGTTTCTATAAAACCGTATAAATATATATATACACACTATAAGTAAAAAATATCTGCCGTTAACTAACTAAAAGATGTATACTGTAGTGAAATGGTAATGTTATCCATGATTAAAAAGTCTATGGTTCATTTATGATATAATGAATAATGTCCCCACTTCTCCATTACTGCAAAAGTGACAGCCTTCTCTCTCTCCCTGACTCTCCCCTTCAAATTGAAACGCCCAGGGAAACAAGCACACAAGAGAGGGAGAAAGAGAGCAATAGGAGAATATATGCATAATTAAATTCAAGGGAATTGAGGGATTGGAGAAGTGCGGACAATGAGTCAGTGTGTTCCCACGTGGGACGTAGATGACAGTCCCACCACTGCCCGCCACTCCCACCGCTCCCACGGCGCCGCCGCCGATATCCCCTTGTGAGTGTGTATATATACGCATATTACTTACCTGATGACAAAGTTAGATACAAAGAAAGATCATGTGTATATATGGCGGCGCAGGTTAGAAGAGTACGAGGTGGCGGAGCTGACATGGGAAAACGGGCAGCTGGCGTTGCACGGATTAGGGCCACCAAGGGCACAGACGCAGACAAAGTACGTGAGCGGAGGGACGCTGGAGTCAATAGTGAACCAAGCAACGAACAGCAACAACAAGGGAATGGACGCGATGGTACCGGGATCTTGCAGGAGAGACCATCCAGAAGAAGAGGCTGCTGCTCCTAAACGACCGAGGCGTGGAGATCAGATCAGCGTCAGTGGGAGTGCCACTGTCGGCAGAATTAGGACTACTGACTCTTCCGGCATGGGCTTCACTTCCACCTCCCTCGACGACCATTACTCCTTCTCTCCCGAGGCATGATTCCCTAATATTCTGAACATTTAGTCCTCGTCCCTCCCACGCCTTACGAGAAATGGTGTTGCAGATGGAGGTGACCCATGAAGAGGACACCAAGAATACTGCTGCTAAATCCTCCGTTTCAACCAAGAGGAGCAGAGCCGCTGCTATTCATAACCAATCTGAACGTGTATGCCACTATCATTTCTTTCCTTTTCTTTTTTTTATTTATTCCTATTAACTATATATATACACATATAAACTAATCATATGATCATTTTCTTTCGCACAGAAAAGGAGAGACAAGATCAACCAGAGGATGAAGACTTTGCAGAAATTAGTTCCTAATTCCAGCAAGGTACACCCTTACATATCTACCCCTCCTCAACTTTTATTTGTAGTTATCAAATTTTCTACAACCCAATCTGCAAGTGTGAGCATCGAAACAAATTCATACATATTAATTTTAATATGATAAAAACATATTACATGTTAGAATATATCACATATCTTAAAAATATAACAAAAAGAAAAATAATAAAAACATCAAAAGTTTAAACTAAATTTAGTTTTCTCAAACGCCATGGTTCATTATTCGGAGTTTTCTATATCTTATCTATATAGAATGTGATATGGAAAAAAGTTCACGAATGCACATCTGTTAATCAATAAATACCTAGCGTGACTTTAAAAAACACTGAGAAAATAGTTTTTTTTTTCTTCCGTTCGGATACTTGTTGCCGGCAATTTGTTAAAGTTAATTGTGTTGCTTTATTATAACTAGTACGTATTTGGATATTAGAGTACATACGTATTACGTATGTGTGAGAAAAGGGTGTATATAATGTGTGGTGTGGTCCAAAGAATTAAATGCAAAGCGGAGCGGATATATATGGACCTGATACGATGATTCTACTCCACACAAAGAGAAACTCAATTTGTTGTCCCCAGAAGACAGCTTGACTTATGATGTTTCTTACTTGTCCGATTTCATCGCATTATTATATTGATTGCTCGGTCCTCGTAGGTCCATTTTATGCCTTGTCCGTGTCTCAAACTCGGCCAAATCTCCATTACCCCATTCCAATGTATATATGCAACCATATCATGTGTGTGTGTGTGTGTATATATATATATACATAAATGTTTACCGTGTCGGTTCCTTTTTCATCCACCACCCATCGCACGCACATACATATACAATCCACGTAATAAATACGAATATAATGATGTCTGTGTATCGCACTAGTTAGATGCGTTTTGTACAGCATTGGTTTAATTAGTTAGTGACTCAAAAAATATATACGTATATGGCCTTTTTGTTTTACTCCAGACGGATAAAGCATCGATGCTGGATGAAGTGATAGAGTACTTGAAACAATTACAAGCACAGGTGAGCATGATGAGTAGGATGAGCATGCCATCGATGATGTTGCCAATGGCCATGCAACAACAGCTACAAATGTCAATGATGGCTAACCACATGGGGCTAGGGATGGGACTTGGAGTCATGGACATGAATTCTATGAACCGAGCCGCTTCGAACATGATGCCTAACCCATTTATGCCAATGGCTTGGGATACCGCTGCTTCCAATGATTGCCGATACCCGTCTCCCGTGATACCAGATCCTATGGCCGCCTTTCTTTCATGTCAATCGCAGGTACTATGCATGGGTTCCAATCATTAAATTATTAATAATTTGTCAATGTATATATACGCTCACGTACGTCTATACATATCTACCGGTTTTGCAGCCAATGACCATGGATGCCTATAGCCGGATGGCTGCCTTGTATCAGCAGATGCAGCAACACCTACCACCACCTTCAAACCTAAAATGATAAAAAGTAGACTTATTATGCCTACGTGTGTGCTATACCATCATCCATGTATGATTATGTCGAAGAAGTAGATCATGGTATATATAGTCGGAGGGAAAATAAAACGATTGATGAATGTGTAATATCACCTTCCCATTAAATGTTGGACCCGACCTATTGTTTACGGAATATACAACAGACATCTCATTGTTATAATAAAAGATAATAGCTGTCTTGGGCTGAATCATTTTTTTTTAACACCGATGTATATGAGTATGTATATTTGTATGACATGTCGTCTATATATATGATTAAAAAAGAGAGGACATTTCGACTAAATAATGTTGTAAAATGATTGGGTGTCGATTGGTCAACTTGGCCCGAATACTCACCACAAGTTCGCGAAACAGCCAAACCAGACGAGACACGAACCCTAACTTATACATTTTAACTTTATAAATAGGGGAAGGAAAAAAAGGCGCATGATTTCTAAACCAATCAAATCAAATCGAATCGAATCGTTTTAGGTCCATACTCGTTGGTTTGATTAGAAATTACGAGTTATTGCATCAAAATTAAAATCCCCAACCCCACCCATATAATATACATACGCATATACCCCGCAGAAATAGGTGGCTGATATTAAACTAGAGAAGACTCCAATAAAAATATACGACATTCAGTACTGTGTATTCTAAAATTTTAATTCAAATTATTTGAATTTGAAAATTTATCATATGTATGATCTGCGTGTGTTTTCCAATTTTCCAGTCAATATGACATCACTATAATCCGATAACATTAATAATATCCATATCTATTGAACAAATATACTATTATGAACAAAAAGAAAAACAAGACCATAATCAATGGATAAGGAATCTACTGGTATATTTGTAGTCGTGGAGAGTGGGTGGCCCAATAAAGGCCTCTGTAAACGCATGGGCCTCGTGTCATATTGCGGCCCATTACATCTGAACAAGAATAATTAATTAATTGATCACTGGCTAATCACAGCAATGTTGGCTTATATATATAGTAAGCCCTAACACACGCACATGTGGTTATGCGAGAATATTGTACGACAATTAGAACAACCTATGCCTCCATTCCTTTTATTAATTTTTTTTAACTTCATTATAAATTTTATAAATTTTAAATTTATATTTCTCTTAAACTATACTTCCCTCTGTTTAATTATAGCTGACGAATAATTTGTTTGTTTCAAAATAAATGACGTTTTTCGATTTTCAATGTGTTTTTTAATATTTTTTCCAAATTTACTTTTAATTAATAATATTTAAATATTTTGCATGTTTAGAAGTAATAATTATCTATGTAATAAATAAGGATATTTTGGTTAAAACACTATTTTTCTTAATTTGTGTGTAGTATTTTTAAACGATATTTAAAATGAAGGGAGGGGTAGTAAATTTTGTATTGTCCCCTATGAAAAAGTTTTGTAGGTCCTCCCATGCATGGAAGCATATAATCCACAAAAAGAAACGAGGCTACGTTTAGGTTTTACAAGTGAAATGGTGAAAATAGTTAGTTATATCTAAAATATAATCATATATGCATGTAAAGTAAATGTATATACCCCCCGCGCATTGAGTCAGGGGGCTAGAAAAAGTCAAACAACCACGTGTCACTGTTACACAACTCGATCCCTCCTCCACATAAAACTACAAGACACCGAACCCATAGCTTTCACTAAAAACTAGGGCTCGCCCTTTCCCTTTTATACTCGCATCGCCATTAACACACTAACTAATCACTCAAGCTCCGATTCTTAATCATGTTTAGTCGTCGTTTAGACGGTGAAAACAAATCTGTACGTCGATCGAAGAGAGAGAGATCGAGTTCTATCTTGTCAGACAAGGAGGACGAGGACCTTGCCAACTGTCTCGTCCTGCTGTCTAATTCGGGCACAGTAGTCGGAGATGGTGATGATGACAATAAGCATGGAGATGGTAGGGGTAAAAGCGTAAATAAGGGGAAAGCAGGACCCGCGTTTCAGTGTAAAGCGTGCAAGAAGGTGTTTACGTCTCATCAGGCATTAGGCGGACACAGAGCTAGTCACAAGAAAGTTAAGGGTTGTTTTGCTTCTGAAGACAAAGAAGAAGAAGAAGAAGAAGAAGAAGAAGAGGAAGAGGAAGAAGAAGAAGATGAAGAGGAAGAGGAAGAAGAAGAAGAAGAGAGATCAACGGCTCAGATCACAAGAAAACGAACAAACAGTCATGAATGCAGCATATGTCACCGTGTTTTCGCATCAGGACAAGCCCTGGGCGGTCACAAGAGATGTCACTGGTTGACTCCATCAAACAATCTGATGAGGACGCCTTCGTCGCAACGTGAGCCGTCGCTCGACCTGAACTTGGCTTGCTCTGTTGATCGGACAGTGATGAAGGTAGGGGGTGGTGGTGGTACTGGTAATAGCTCATCTTCGTGGTTACAACTCTCCAGTGGCGATTGGTTTTGAATCTTTATTAATTTTCTTCCCCCTTTTACTTCTTTTATCCTTTATTGGTCGCATACATGTGATTTGAACACACATGTAGAGCAAGCATGCATATACATACACACGTATTTTCTGCTACATTTACATGTTGGTAAAAAAAGAAAAGCGCCGGGGGTGGTGTTGATGCGATGTGAGACTATCAATTATAATTTTTATATCGTCAGGTTGGCAACTAAAGAATTGCCACCTCAATTCTGTCTACTGAATGTGGTGTTTTGTTTGAAATTAACGGAACTGGCTGTTCTATATATCCGTGTGCAATACAGAAGATTTAATCATTTTACAACACAAATTAAAAAATATTTTACAATATAATTTTATTATAAACAATAATAAAATGTTGATATAAATTATCGTAACCTTATCGTGTTAGTGTTAGTTTTGTTTTAAGGGGCAATTGACAAAATGTAAAAAAAAAAAACGAAATTTACAAAATATATCATAAAAAAAAACTATTGTATACTTTACTTTTTTTTCTCTTCTAAATACCCAAACTACTATTCAGAGTATTGTTCTACGATCTTGTGATAATTTATCTTTTAGAAATCGATACGTTTTGCTATTTGATCTTATTTTTTCTCCAACAATTTCTCTATCTCATCTATTTCTTACAGTTTATCTAATCTATTCAAATACTCTTCTGGTTGATTTTTTTTTTGGTGATATTATGATCATTTTTTTGTATGGATATAATGTGTTTGATGAAATGTCTATAAAAGAAAACTGTAGAAAGATGACTTTCCGTTTGTGAAAAATGATTTGCACTCTACGGTAAATGACCTACAACCTACGACAGATGACTTACGTTCGCGACAGGTCATCTGCGGCACCGACGGCTTGCGGTAGGTCACCTACGGTACCTGTCGCACCTACAGCATGCAACCAGATAACTAGGACTAGATAACTACGACCAGACTACGACCAAATAACTACGACCATGATTTCACTACGACTAGATAACTACGACCGTGATTAAACTACGAACATAATGCAAATACGACTAGATAATGCAGATTGTAATAATATAGAAGGGTATGATGGTCATTTTAACTAAAAAAGTATAGAATACAAAAATTACAATAATAGAAGTATATAATGCAAAGGTGTTTTTTTTTTGTGCATTTATACAAATTTTCTCTTGTTTTAACCAATAGTATATAATAATTTTAATCAATATATTTTTTTTATTAATTTTAAATGTTAATATAGATAATAAATGATCAATACTCAAACAAAAACATATGTTAAAAAAAGTAAATTATTTTGTTTTGTTAAATGATATTTCCAACCAAAATAAATAAAATATTTTCTATCATAAATAATTATATAAAATAAATATTATTTTTAAATCTTAAATATACTTAAAAAAGATATTTTTAGATTTGTAGAAGAGTAAACATTACAAAATATTGTTATTAAAAACTTCATTTTTGATTTTTCTTAAACACAATAATTTGAAATTGTTGTAATAAAAGTAGGCTCATCTAATAGTGGGTCCAGTTGCACTCCCTCTAAGAGCCCTGCCGCTCTATCAGCTCTCAAATCGGGAGACTGGGAAATGCATCTCTTCCTACTCCTCTACTGTCGCATGATAATTATAACACAACCGACAAAAATTGTCACTTGAGTTTGGTAATGAGATTAGGCAGACGTTGTCGGTTTGACTTGTTAAAAGCAATAGAGAACACACAAACATAGTACCAAATGAAGATTCACACACTCACTCACTCTCATACATATAAAACCCAAAAGAACAAAGATTAAAAAGGTGAGACTGTCCCTTGAATTCTCTCGTACCCCCAAGACTTGGGGTTTAACCCTCTCCCACTTCCACCCTGTATTTGTCCCTCTAAACTACAATGCAAAGTAGGACTATAATTATTTAATTGGTCAAGAGACGAAAAAAGACAGATAAAGTGGAAAGATCGCGGTATCCAAGAGGAGAGGGAAGGTTAAGGCCGAAAGAGAGAAAAACCAAACATGGACTGAAGAGTCCTTGAGTCATACTATGGACTTTGGAACAACCAGAGGAGAAAAAAAAAAGTGAGAAAAGGAACCCCCAAAACAACATCACATCGTGCTCGGTCAACACAACACCTCCTTTCCCTTCTCTTTTTCTCCTTCCAAAAAAGAAAATGAGAGAAAAAAAACACCTATTCACATGTATGCGCAGGTTCTTCACCTGTTCTAACAAATACAATGAAATGATTTCAAATTCAACCCACATTTCTCCTCCAACCCTTTATATGCCCTGTATGTATGCATGTGTATATGTATGAGGGAATACGATGAAAAGGGGCAAACAATGATCCAACAGATCAGATCACAAAACACCATCATTTGATGCCCAGCAAAAAACTATCAACTGGCCATCACTACTGCTAGTCCCTCATTCCTCTGATGCCACTCACCCCTCTCTCTCTCTCTCTCTCTCTCTCTCTCTCTCTCTCTCTCTCTCTCTCTCTCTCTCTGACCTAATGACCACATTCTCACAAACCAGGAAATTAGTAATATACTTTTACCTCAGCGCTCTTCTCCCAAAAGCAAGACAATTGACCATTCTATACTTTACATATATATATATATGTACATGCACACATTTGTTGCAACCAAGAAAGGGTACCTGGAAACAATTTAGAGAAACGTTCCGCTCGTGATCTTCTGTGTCTCTAAATGATGACGACTAGTTTCTGCAGCGATCTTTTTGTCTCCTTAGGGCCGATAGCCTCCAACAGGAAGCTGCTAGTGCAAAATAACCCCCCAAACAAAAAAGAAGAGGCGGGATGATCAAGGATTCTCAACAACAAGCACGTTTTTAAAATTAATAGAAGCAACAAAGGAGTTCTCTGGATTCAACTGAAATTTGCTAATAAACATTAGACATACCTAGGCATCAATTGGCTGACACATGTGTTGTGTAGAATACAGTCAGTCCAGAATAGAACAAGGCCTTCCTGCAGACAGGTGAACTAGAACATTATATTTATGGTAAAAGGTTGGAGCAAGCATGTCTTGAATGGTAAAAACACTGTAGTCGGTTATCTCAACATGTCATGACCATGCTGACTGACAGTTGAGCCAACGGTTAAGAAAATAGAGAGATTGTTTAATAGAAGCATACACACAGTGCACAATAGCAGTGAAGAGACAAGAATAATTGTCAATCTGCTGAATGACACCATCTCTTTATTGCGTCCAAGTTGGTTGGTACTTGAGACATTGGCTGATTCAAATAGGATGATGGTCTACAATATATAGTCCCTCACTGACCAAGATCACATTCTCAACGTTGAGCAAAGCATTTTCAGACAACCATAGTTGAATCATCAAAGTGCAGTAGAAGAAGGATCATTTTAGATGAATAAAAACTGTTTTTGAATGTCCATGGGATATCAATGAATGAAATTATCATATGTTTTACTCCCTACATGGGTCCAAACCATGAAAAAAGGATTATGAAAGTATCCTAAATCATACCAGTGGTTACTCCCTACATGGGTCCAAATGCATCAAAATTCACAGCGTAAAGGCACAGTTACCTGGGAAGTTGCATATAGGCATCGGCATCAGCAGTTACAATTTCCAGAGTTCGTTGCGCATCAAAATTCATCTCAACTGAAACATAAAGGATCAGGTTGATGGTGGAAAAATACATTTTGAGAGGGCATTCAGAATTGCAAACTGTTCGTATTCAAGTCTTCATGTCATCCTCCATATTGAATATGCAATAATAGAACTAGAAGCAATACATACCACCACATCTAGATTCTTACAACAACCCCATACTTGGAATGATTTTTGACAGCAATTTGTACGACGGCTTTCTGCATGAATCAGTGGAACTAGCAAGGCATGTGAGATCATTCTCCAGAATAGAGTAGGCTTCCGAAAATGCCTGCATCAACCGAAATATCAACTTTCATGATGGAGAACATCAACCAAAACTTAACATTGATGGCTAGAAAGGATTATCCCTACTTCACAAGTTATAATCAAGGATGACAAACCCAGGATCCAGAAATAACATTAAAATTGCTATAAAGAAGCCATAAAATCGCTTAACTTTCCCATTTCTAATATTTCATAATGACGAATACCAGCTAAATGAAGACTATCTTTCTTGCTCTTAAACGAGTTTTCTCAATCCAACACAAAAGTTGAAAAAAACACAAATATATATAAATAGAATCCTCACTTTACCTTAATACATTGATGTATACGGAAGCAATTCCTCCCCACATTATTTGTTGGAAAAATAGGATCGTCGATGTGTATCGGATCAATACTGCAGATTAAGCAGACAGTTATGAACACATGACATGAACATAAGGCATAAAGTTAAGAACATTTTACATGTATGTCATTTGCAGAAAGTGGGTCATGAGGCTGCGATGTTTACCTATATCCTCTCTCTCTACTCCTATAAACACCACTTCCTTGCACTGAAACACGCATTTGGCGCGGATCAAATACATTCCTGCAAATTTATTGCAAAGACAAATCCAGTATGCCAATCTGCATCAATTTCTGGATTGCATATGCATATGTGAATAATATAGTTTGTAGAATGTTAGAAAGAAACAGTCATGATTTTGACTGACCCAAAGAAGTAAAGAAAATCCATTAGAAGACTCCCAAAATTCTGCAAAATACTTCTTGTCAATTGTACTGCTTTGCTCAAATAGAACAAGAAATCATTATAAGCACAAGCTCCTAGTCACAGAAAAGGAAGCCGATAAAAATATGTACTTGGTTGATAGGGCGACCAAGGTGATGCTCATGCTGAAGAAATCGCGTAATCAATAAGACCTGCAGATTAATTGGAGTATGAGTCAACAAATACTCAATAGGAACTCATTTCAGGAGAAAGACAACAAATATGTCAGTCAAAGATCTACCCAGATGCACTGTTTAGAGAAACACCTATTACAAGGATAGGTACGATATCTCTACAGAGCCTGACCAGTTGAAATTCAGATGATTGGTGCATTTTGCACAGAGCAAAGCAAAGAGTATAACTCACCAAGCAATAAGAACTCAATCCACCAGAATATGATTGGTCCAGGGTACGATCAGCCAAAAACTGTTTTAACACCAATGCAAGAGGTGTGGCAGCTGGAAATTGCTCGGTCAGGTCTTTGACCTGGCAAAATGATATCTCAGGAATGAAGAACCACAAGGTGGAAAAAGAGTACAGAGAAGACAATAAAATTCATGAAAAGGCAATCCTGGCTGTGAAAAAACGAAGTAGAATAATATATACCAGCTGGGTTGTCTGAAGGCCCGTATGAGACGGAGTCTTAAAACTAATGTCAAGACGAACTGACTTCGCATTTGTGCAGCTCCCAGAGTTCTCCTGTGAACAGTTTGTTGCACTGTCTCCAAATCCAACTATTTCGTACTGGCCATTGCTGTCATGGTCAACAATTGTACAAATTTGGCCATCTTTTGGTGATAATCCAGATGCAGTAGATGATATCAGATCCCAGGGAACTTCCACAACAAGCATGATAATAGGTATCTAAGCAGGAACATAAAAATTAGATTAGAGGAAGCTTTGTGAAAAATAAATGACTGAATAAAGCAGACCATGGCTGTGAGGCATTACAGCTGTATTTTCAACTGTCTTCAGGGAATCAGTTTTCACCCACTCTTGATTGGCCAGATATCTGGCTGCATGCTAGAATTGTAAACATGAAAGCCAAGGCAACTCAATGAATATTGTATTTAGTGAACTGTTAGATACAGAACTAAAGTGCTAACATGTCCTTAAAATATTTTAAAACCTTCCCTAAAAAGCATACTTGCAGCAGTTTTCAGAGACAAATCAACAGTACATACTATCTTCAAAAACTTTCAAGATAGAGGGTGTAGTGCAGACTCAAGCGTGATTCACTAATCTGTTATTTAAAGGGGGGTTAAGCAATAATAATCAATTCCAGTTATTAATAAACATGATCTGAAAAAAAAATGTGACTTCCATCTCATTTTCTGATTAAAATCAGGGAATCACTTGACAACATGCACAAAACTAAGATCCATAAATTTCTGGAACAAACACATACCCAGCAGAAAAACACGTCAATTGATTAATGACTGTAGTTCTAAACATACCTGAAGGCAAGTCTCCTTTATACCATTACGGCCCTCCAAAATTCCGGCCTCTTTGATAGGTTCCTGAAAGAGGTTTCAGGAGTCAGTATTTGCAAATCAAATATTGAGGCCTGAGAAGGAATAATCTAGGATACGCTTACCAAATTCCTCACTGGAGGAAGACAAATGACAAGGTCCACATCACTTGAAGGAAGGGACAAGCCAGTGGCAAATGAACCAAAAATATGTGTCCTAGACCTGGGCCACAAGACTTGGAGAGATCGGGTAACCCGCTTGATAGCCCAATTAATATAAGGTTTACGGGCCATATTCTCTGCAGCAACCTTTAGATCCATCATGTTATTCAAACCATTAATTAATCCACACTAATCGAGATACATAAATATAAAATCCAAAGGAGTCACGATGGATCTCTGTAAAGTAAGGGCAGTTATCAAAGTATATGAAATGGTAAAAGAAGCTTTATATTACCTGCTTGCAGAAATAATCTATCTCATCATTAAGAAGGCTGTGAATCAACGAGAGAGATGCCCTAGGCATTGGACAATTAAGTGGCTCGGGTGGTTGCAGTGGAAAAGCCACATCAGGCTGCGAAATAGATTTTTACAAAATGAATGGAACTTGAACAGAGTAAGATACTTGCATAAATATTAAAGATGTTGCTTACATGTTCCTGGTCTCGGCCTAGTTGAGACATTGCAATCAAGTGATCTTGCAGGAGAGCCCCAGGAAGAGGTTGAATGACCGGACGCGCAGCAAGATTCTTGTTTCGCCAAGGCAAAACAACCTCAGCACCACAAGTTTCCTCCCAGTTTATCCCATCATGGAGCCAGCCTCTCATACCCCAATGTCTAGGGCTGGAACTCCCAGACCTTACAGTTGGAAAGCCTCGACGAGCTCTAGAGTCACTCACAGGAGAAGGCGGCGGAGGGCGAGGAGCACGCGGAACACATAGTACTACAGGTGATGGTGGTCGCTTTATGCGAGGATGATCTCGCCGCGACGGTGGAACATGCGGACTTCTAATATCATAATTACGCTTGTATTCAGTTTTTGACATACTTGGAATGATTATAGGGCGCAAAATGGGATAAGAAAATGAGTCTCCTGAATTCCCTTCAACATCTCCAGATAAACCAGCCAGAGATCCAGAGACGTCCTCCTCGCCCACATCTTCAGCTGTGGCTGGAGAGGCTTGTAGCACTTTGCCAGATACTTCATTTCCTGGCACAACATAACCAAGAGGCTGGTTTCCAGAACCTAAAGGATCAAATGGGGAACAGAATGAAGCCGCTGTTGGAGAAGCTAATCCATTTGTGCTGTAAGAAGAAGAAAACGCAACCATATCATCAACTGCCCTCTTCATTTCAGCTTCGTGCCAAGCCCAGGAGCTATCATCAGAACTAAGTGAGGGAGGACGAGAGAAGCCTGTCCCAAGATGATCAGAAGGATTCCAATACATCACTCCACCACCAAAATACTGATTATAGTCTACTCCAGAAACCGCGTGCATCTCAAAGTCTTCCTCTAGCATCCAATTATTCTCACAATCATTCCCTAGCTCCTGTTTATTTTTCTGTTCAGGAAAGTCCATAAAAACTCCAGAATCATAATTGCAAGTGAATGGTGTTGTCACACCACAATTACTCCGAACCATGGGAGGCCAATCTAAACTCATCGGCACAGGTCGAGAAAAAACTTCTTTATGCGCGCCTTCAATGGAAGGATTTCTACCATGATGCATAGTGGGCACAAAAGGCTGGCGCATGTAAGCATGCAAATTGTGGCCGACATCAAGATGCAATCTATCGGTGGCAGTTGGAAGGTGAGAATTAAGGTGTGAAAAATACATAGGAGCTACAGCAGGCCACTCATAGGAAACAAATTCCGAAGTACTGCAGGCAACACCATGGCTTCTTTCTTTCCTCTTATCCTGTATGCCAATGGATTCACATTCCTTGAAAGTTCTGGATCGTCTATTAGACATCAATATTTCTACATGCCCGTTTGGATGACAGGAATCTCGAGAATTGACATCTTCTCTGACTGAACCACCGACAGGATCCACAACGGTAAAAGAGGATTGAACCACACACCTTTCAGCCTCAGTGTTCAACACTTCCTCTTTAGAATACTGATTTTGAACTGTACCACTCCATGGAGTTCCTGTAGCACAGGCATGCCTGACAGAGCTAGCGTGACTATCTTCTCCAATGCTCCAAGCATTTATGTATTCCTGAAGATGCTGAGGAGTAGAGCTATAACTTGAATTATTGTCAGGAACTTCCTGAATGGCTGAACTATCCACATCAGAGTTATTTTTTTCCTCAGGGTTTTTAAAACTTGTGCACTTATTCTTTTCCTTTCTTTTCTTTTTACTTCTTCCTTTCCCAGCAACCAAACCTGGGATGAGTTCCTGATGGCAGTTATCAGTTACAAAACAATTTAGTTTCTAACAATAATAATCAACCAAAATACGAGGAGAAATTAATAATCCACCATTTTTGCTGCAGAAATGGCTTCACAGCAGTTGTGCTTTATCGATGTGGTAGACATTTTTTTGCATTCTACCGTATCTTTGTCTCTTTCGAATTCCAGACCATCTCGATCTCGCTGGAGAAAACTCTAACTGTTAAACTCTAGTATCTAAAGGATGCTTTCCCACAAAAAAGTTGCCACATAATTTTTGAAACAAATAAATTCTGTGGATGTTAAAGGGAAAATATGTACCCTTTCCATTTCCTCTGTCAAGGTCTCTTTTTTACTAAATGCTGCCTCCGCATTAGGCCTTTTCACATTCCTGGTCTTGCCTTTCTTTTTACGGTGGGTTGAATTAGTCATCTGCTTGGATGATGTACTCGGTAGACATTTCTGAGTATTTTCTCCAAGAAGCTCAATCTTTGCAGAATTGATGGAGATAAGCACGAGAAAGCCCCGTAGTTTTCTTAGTACGCAATCAACTAAGGTACCAAGAGAACCCATAGAGCTGAAAAATACACTATGTACTGGAAATTCACCATTTTGACACGAGACAAGTAATGCAACAAGTTCTTGAAGCACATGTAAGCCATTTAAAGCGCTGGCTAAGGTACTACTTTTCTTAGATATAGAGGTTGTTTCTAAAATCATGTCAAAGACCGAAAATGCCGAAGTTTCAGAATATCCTTGCCTTGCAGGTCCTACGCCAAAACCAAAGATCCACATTTCTTCCTGTGACGCCTGATTCGCTTCTCTCAGAATCTCACATATCTGAGTTTGCAGTAACAACATCACTTCAAGACTTTCACCATAAGTAAAGGAAGATAACGACGACACGGGTTCAAGAAGGATTGACAGATGTAGCATGACAAGATTTAAGGGATGCAAATCATAGCTGAATCAAAAGCAATCTTAGAACTTTCCAACCTAGACAGTCTAAGTATGGTAGAGGGACAATAAATAAGGGAAGACAGGTACCAAACTCCATTTAGCTCTTCCTACAACCAGCACCCACGAATTCTAATAAGCAACTATCCAGAGTCCATATTCTAAATCAAAGTTGCATCTTGATGCTACACCCTTTGATAGCATTCAGCAGGTTCACTTCATCCATGTCTATCAATTGCGTTATCAACCATAGCATACAACTTTCCCACAATATCTCGGCATGGTTAATAATAAAGATTCAGGATGCTTAAACAAGGTAAAACACATACCAGGGATTTTGCTGATTTTCCCAAAACAGAATTCCAGACTTTCCTTTTAGTTACGGCATCCAAATTGACCCACCAATCGGTGCACGCCTTCTTCCTCCAATACGAATTTGCTGCTGCTGCTGCAGCATGCAATTTTTCCTTCAATTTCATTCCTTTTCTCTTCCCACTACCGCTGTTCAACCAAGCTAATCTCAAGCCGACCTCTAACCTATTTGCGATGAAGGCCTCCATGCTATAAAAGCCTTTGGCTTTCAGCCATTCCAATTCTACCCAATTCGATCCCAAATCACTCTCTTCCCCCCTCAAAAACCCTCCATTCGATAACTCATCCATAGTCTCCACAAACCGATCCACATCCGTTGCGAATTCCTCGCTTACAGTGATCGAATCAAGAAATTTGACGGAACAAGAACAGTCCTCGACTCTCTCCCCTTCTCTGGAACCGAAGAGCCGGGTCGACTCAAAAATCCGACGCTCTGAGCCGTTCGACTCGGCAACCCTGGAGATTAAACCGCAAGATTTCTTGAAGCAGATGCTCGGAAGATCGCCGGAAGGGAGGTCCGGCAGGATGATGAAAGAGCCACGGCCCTTCGTCCGGACATATCCGAGCATCTGGACAAGAATCCGGACAAAGTTGGGATCGACAGAGGTGAGATGAGCAAGGCGCTGATGGAGGGTGAGGGAAGAGAACCATCTGAGAATAGCCGATCTGGGATTAGGGTTTGTGTTTGTTCTGGGTGAGATGGAATGCGAGTGGTAGAGGGAAATATGAGATGTGAGGGAATCCATGACTTGATTATGAGCCATGAACGAACTGTCGAAGAATTTACGAGACGTATCCGAATTTTCCCGTATATTCAGATTTTTCATTCTCGATTCTCTCAATCTGTCACAGAGACCGTCCACGGAGGAAGACGACGCCGGAGGACGGAGAGAGGGAAAAAAACGACGACGGATTGGTTGTCCTCAACCTGGGGTAGGTAAAAAAACGACGTCGTAACACCGCTTTTGTGAACCGGAATAACTCAGAATGCTTGGTAAAACCGGGCACCAAACTTACAAACCGGAATTAGAAAGAGATGTAAGCTAATTTCTCCAAACCGGAATTAGAAAGAGATGCAAGGCTCTAAAAACTTGTGGTGGGCTTTTAAAAATTGTTTTTTTGAAATCTTTTATCAGCAATGGGCTCAAGGCCTTCTAATCTACGGCCGATTCGGGTCATTATCTCTGTACATTTTACTACCCGCTTCTCTTCCCTTCCCTCCTCCGCTCTCGCTGTCTTTTCTACGTTCGGGAAGCTTTCCCTTGAGAATCCTTACGCTTTTCGATATAGATTCCTCTCTTCCGGTGACCATCGCATCGGTTATTGTCGGCCGGTTATTTCCGGAGCCGGAGATCGGAGGTGCATTCGAGGGCTAACGTGGATCTTCAATCAGATCCTAAGCGGAATCAGAAATCGAATCAGCCTCTTCTCAAGAAGACTCTTCCCAAGCCTCACTCTCATGCCTCAGACAAGGTAGCTTTTACTCCATGTCTCATATTCATGGTGGAAGCCGTAATTTGCACTGCGGAGTTTAGGTATTTGGATCAGATGAAGTAAGTGTTTTTTTCTTCTTTTTTTTTTCCGGACCGAGATTAACTTTTAGAACGCAACGAGACACGAATTTCGGACTACTTCTCGCTTATCGTTATTCTTCTTTTTAATTTTGGATAAATGCTTGTGGACTGCAGGATCAACACAAGCGGCGTCATTCGTTGGACCTAAACACGTTGAAAGGGCATGGTGATACTGTGACCGGTTTGTGTTTCTCCTCTGATGGAAGGAGCTTGGCTACAGGTGAAGAACCTTTTTGCTTTCTGGCTCTGAATCATTTGTGGACAGAATTGAAAATACTGATAGATGGTAGAGATCGTAGCTAGTGGAGCCTTAAGAAAATTTTGTTGTCGAACTTCTCTATAGTTTATTCACCGGGGAAAGGAACTGTAGACGTGTATGCCACTGAGAACCCTGGTATTAAGTCTTATGAAATTCGGAGTTCCTATGATTTTCTGAACTCAATAATGGTATGAGATATTGATGATGATAAGAGAATTCTAGTTGAATGTGATATCATATCATTCTGTAAACAGTTTGTCTAAGACATGATGTTTCTTGGCCAGAACGTTTGTCTTTTTAAGTTCTGATCATATTTCTTCTGCTTTTATGTGAATAGCTTGTGGTGGTAGAGTGATCAGGGTGTCCAAGCTGGATGATGTCTGGAGCAAAAGCTTCAAGTATGCAGTCCTTGAGCTGACCTTTTGTTTTATTACACTAGTCAACATGAACTGTGAAGGCTGTTTTTTTCTTATGATCACTCTCATAGACCAACCTTTTTTCTCCTTTGTTTATAGATTTTTAAGAATAAACCTTCCTGCTGGAAGTCATCCAACCGCTGTTGCTTTTGGTGATGATGTGTCTTCTGTTGTTGTGGCTTGTCACACTATGTCTGGCTCTTCTGTGTACATACGGAGAAGAGAAACAAAAAGGTTCTAGCGAAGGTAAGCAGCAAGCTAAGCTTCCTCTTCTAGAGATCAAATGGCAGTACCACAGTGCTCATGAAAAGAGAGCCATCCTGACCCTATCTGGAGCTACTGCAACTTACAGCACTGCTGATGGGAGTAGTGTTATTGCCTCTTGTTCAGAAGGTAGGCATTCCCAACAGCATACTTGCAATTGATTTCTGAAATTTGAGTGGCGTCTGGAAAAGTTCGTCTTTTACTTGAATTACCAACAAGGTCCTGCTTCAATCACTACATGTGAACTTTTCAGATTGGCTGTAAGGATTTCTTGTTCAAACATGCTGTGTAGTTTTAGATATTATTTTAAATCCAGAGTTCTGGTTTAGGGCTATTAGACTATTCAAATTGCACATCTTTTCCTGTATATGGCATTCTAAGCATTCTGATATGATGGAATGTCTCTTGTTGTCTTGAATCTTATTCTTCTCCAGGTACTGATATCATACTTTGGCACGGGAAAACTGGGAAGAATCTGGGACATGTTGACACAAACCAATTGAAGAACCACATGGCTGCTGTAAATCAAATGGACGTTTCCTGGCTGCTGCTGCATTTACTGCAGATGTGAAGGTGAATCTGAATCATCTGAAAATTTTACGGCATTGTACTTTAGCGCGTTTCGTGGGATCTTGCTCACTATGTATTTTCCATAAATTGTGCTTGGTAGGTGTGGGAAATTGTATATTTGAAAGATGGATCTGTGAAGGAGGTTTCAAAAGTTATGCAGCTTTAAGGACATAAGGTACTGATCACTGCATAGTACGAGCTAGTTTGATGTCTTCTCTTCAAAGCTTCTTTCTTGCTCTTCTCTTGCATTTGTTTCAATGTTTATCTTCTGTTGTTCAGAGTGCAGTGACTTGGTTATGCTTTGCTCCAGACTCGGAACAAATCATCACAGCTTCAAAGGATGGTTCAATAAGAATTTGGAACATCAATGGTTAGTGCGCTTCCTAAAAGTTATTTGTTTAGTCTCATATTGATGATTGTTGTTTCCACGCTGATAATAAGCCCTTTTTAGCACAAGGGTATGTGCAATGTAACAACATACAACTCAAGTTTTTGAAAGATGCAACACAAGGAATGATTTCCAATTCATCTAAAATTATGAAGCTGTTGTCTGACTTGATCTCACCTTTTTTTTTTGTTTTTGTTGAAGTCCGCTATCAACTTGATGAGGACCTGAAGACTTTGAAGGTCTTCCCAGTTCCACGCTGATAATAAGCCCTTTGTTCTATGACCGTCTTAGTCTATCCCCTGACGGAAAGATACTGGCAGCAACTCATGGGTCCACATTGCAATGGCTATGTGCTGAAACTGGAAATATATTGGATACAGCCGAGAAAGCCCACGAAGGTGATTGCATTGCAAATAGGCCTTCGCGTTTCTTATGACACCAACTACAGTTTTGCTAATCATTCATTTTCCTCATTCCTCAAAGTTCAATTCAAGTCTTGCGTTTGTGTAGGGGACATCACATGCCTTTCATGGGCACCCAAAGTTATCACAGCTGGTGTGTGCACCTTTTAGCATGAATGAAGCTTTTGAGACACTGATGCCTCTTTGTATATGGTTGTCAGCCGTCTTTACCATTTCATGCCTTTTGTTTGCGCAGGGGAGAGACAGGTATTGCTGTTAGCAACCTCAAGTGTTGAGAAAAAAGTAAAGCTGTGGGAAGCTCCATCGATGAAGTCTTCGTAAATATAGCTTGAGAAGAATCTTTACAGCGTCAGGCTCTGGTTTACACATGAGACACAGGTACTCTCACCCTGCTTACCTTCATACGAGAGGTAAAAGATGGAAATGTTTAACTGCAGAGAATACCAGAAGAAAACCTTCTCCAAGTTCCAACACATAATAGGTGTTGCTTTTTCAATCCGAGCCCACCGAAAGTTTTGTTGACTTGGAAGTTTAAGTCCCTGACAGACAATGGCATGCGGTTTTCTATATGGTCTGGGAGAAGAGACTATAGGGAATGTTGTGGTGTGTTTCACATACTTCTGGGCCTTTTGGTTTGGCGGTGTTGGGTGATTTATATGTATTGTTTGTTTCACTGGGGAAAATCACTCAAATGACCCACTTGGGTCGCATCTATTTCAGCTGTACACCACCAAAAACATAACACATTTTTTTCTCCGTAAAAAGACGAAATTACCCTTAATGAATCACGATATTTATCCGTTCGAAAACAACTTCGTTATTACGACTTCGTAATTAATTCTAAATATAGTTACAAGAAGGTGGCAAAAAAAATTATCCGTCTTATTTTAGTTGTATATTAGTTATATGTTAGTCGCAAAAAGGTCGCAAAAAATAAAACGAAAAGGGTATTTTGGACTTTTTCAATCGAAAAGTGGGTTAAAATTGATTTTTTTTTTTTTCTGGGTGGTGTACCCTGAAATTGCTGCGACCCAAGTGGGTTATTAGGGTTAAAACCCCGTTTCACTTGATATCATATACTCATATGTGTTGTGAGGCAGTGATGCAAACTTACGGTAAGACCTAAGTTTGGTTATATCTAAACCTACTTTTGGGATCAGGCATTAGTATTTCTTTTTCTTTAGTTTTTGGTGATTGTCAACCTTTGCTCTGATGATCGTTTTCATATTTTATCGTTTAAAGCTTGTGATGTGATATTTACGTTTCTGTTTGTTTGTGTAAAGCTTAGTTTCTTGACGTCTTTGAAGTGCTGTATGTTGTGTGTACTTTGGAAGGGTCTAGGCGAATTTGCAGAGAACAACCACAGCCGGGAGACGTGGAGTTGTGCCGTTTTGGTGGGTTTTCTCTTTATCCACCTAAGGGTTCTGAGCTGCACCTTTGGAGGAAAAAAAAGAACAGAGGTGACAGTGAAGCCTAAGCTCTGTTGGTTAGAATTAATTTCTTGTTCAGCAAGAAAGAAATGATGGGTCATTTTTGTTGGTTGTGTTTAAACAATGGATACATCATACTAGTAAGAGAAGAAAACGAAATAACAAAAAAGAAAGCCCTTCTCTGGGCCCCCATGTGTTGAAAAAGGCGTCTCGGTTGATTCGATTTCTCCCGTGGGAACGTCACATAGTTACCCCCCCCCCCACACAGGGCCACACCTGAACCAATAAATCAAAAAAAGGACAGACCAAACGGTCCTTTTTCTCCCAAAGATTTTACTAATGACCTTTTTTTAGGGACAAGTCCTAAAGGGCTTGAAGGAAGAAAAGCATTATTATGTATTGACACACCCACACCCACACCCTTAGGCCCGAGGGTTCAATTGATACAGTCAGTCAGTCACCAGTATTGAGGATCCATGGGCCTTGCCTGACCCCCTGCCATGTCTTTCTCCGACAGCAATTTCAACTTCTGCACCCCAGCCAAATAAAATAAAATTCAAAAGAAAAAAAAAACATGTCCAAACTGATCTCTCTGGTCTTGCGAGTTCTCTGGTCTGGTTTGGGATTTACTCCCACAAAGATCCATGCTAAAGCTTTCCCTGTATCTCCCTCTACAAACTCCCCCTTTGGCATTCTTTTTTAAGGACATGTAACGCCTAAGTAAAAACAAAAAAGGGAGGAGTTTGATTTTTATTACCGTGATGTACTGCGGGGGATCGTCAAAGCTAGTACAGCCAAGTACCACTTCCCGCCTCAGACTGGCTGTGAGCTTGTGGCATACTCGGAGCTGAAACCAAATGATTGCCCTTTTTTTTAATTACATTTCCTTAGCACTTAAAAGTATTTTAGATGAATCCATACAATCGTCTGCTCAGACGCCAAATCTTAGCTGTAATCATCTCTGTCTACTTGGACGCAATGGATAATGCCAACTTTAAAAGTTGCAAACATGAGATACAAAAAAAAATTCTATATATTACCTCGGATCGAGTTGCTCCACCAATAATGAATACAAAGATACGTTGCCCCATCTTCTTGAAGTCCAGCGAGGCATTTTTCAACACCGAGTCGCTAAGTGCGACACACAAACACGAAAACTCTTTAAAATAAAACATCTCAAATATGGAAAGCATCAAAATGGTCCACGTGACAAACTGAACCAAAACTGTGATCAATTTTAGGATATGAGATTTCTATATCACAAGACGTGACAGTGTCTTGTACAATGTTATCAAGAACTGCAGTGATAAAGGTAATGTCAAAGAGTACCTGGAATACCCATCATCAGAATGATGCGGACGTGCCCAAGTTGCAGTTCGTCTTGATCTCATAGAATGAGGAGTTTTCCTATCTGGAGCCAGAGGAGGGGCAGGATTCGATCTGGCTGATCCTGATCGGGGTTGAGTCTCCTCTTTGCGACTTGATTCATTCATGCATAAATAATCTTTCTTTGAGAGTTCACCTTTGACAAGGTTTTCAAGAAGCTCCTACAAGGGAAAAAAAAAAAGAATAATCTTACTCACCACTAAAACAAACTACGTAAACGTTCAATCCTGACAGGTTGGTTTGAGGTATCTCTGGAATATGGCTTGTTGACTATATCACACAAAAGATTCTTTGAGGTGAGATACACGCACTTAAACCCAAGATTTACTTGACTGATCCATCTGTAGGGAAGGGGACTTATACTTGAGGGATTGACATTACCTAATACCTATATATAGTCAACTGTCAAGAAACAAACCTTCTAGCTAGAAAAATGACTCAAAACTTCACGGTTTTCAATGATAACCACATCAGAATGTCTTAGGGTTCATGTACCTCAATCATGGGATAAAACCGGAACAGTTGCCAGGTTTCTTCTTCACCAGTTCGATCTTTCCTGTTTGCTTGTTTGCTCTGCGCCAAAACAGTATCCAACAACAGTAATATTCGCTTTGTCGTTTTTTATGTACATCTGTAGCATTGAAAAACCTTTCAGATATTATTTTGAAATATTCCTCTGTTTACCTTTCCGGCATCAAATTTGAGGGAGAAACTACTGGATTTTGTTTTACTTTCTGGTGATCCAGCGATCAATTGCATGTTGCTTATAACCTTCATATCCTCCCGTGATAATTTAGCCAACTGATCGGTAATTCATAGTTAACAAGATTTTTCGAGCATTAGAACGATGGAAGTTAGTCAGGACACCGAAAGGTACCTGCATTAGCTTTATACCCTTGTCACCTTCGAACTTCTCCGGGTATACAGTTGCATAAATCATCAACAGACGTAATTTGTTCTCGGGACTTGCATCCTGCATTCAAATATCCAGGAAACTTGTATATTTTCATATGTTTTATTTTTTTGGACCAACTGTTCTTCTCCTTTTACCTGATTTGTCCTCAAAAAATTGATAACGTCTTTGGCAGCCGCATCACCAAAAACGAGATCTTGTTCCAGTTGCCCTAGGTCCCGAAGTCCTGTTTCTCTGATAATTCTGTTTACTTTCCCAGCAAGCTGAATTTGATTAAAGAGCGTGAGCAAGTACATCTATTGAATTGCCTTGACAATATCTGCTCTGTACATTGTTTCAGTCTTTGAACTCTAGATCTAGAATCGCATTGCCGTGTATTGGACTTCTTTATTACGCAAGAAATAGGCATGATGATGAAACGAACCTCAACATGAGTGGAGAGTTTGTCAACTTGCTCCCCGTATTGTGGCAAAGCCTGAACTATTTTCTGCAAGTCTCGTGTAGACAATTCACTACCATCTCTGCTTCACGTTAGATCCATAGGGTAACACAAGACATATCAATCAAAACTGTCTTGGACAGTTCATTAACCCAGATCATGAGAAACTACAATTCTTGGAGATATCATAGTGTAGTGATATTTCGATTATCTGAGCATTATGAAAATTGGTTGTTATAGTTAACAGTAAACACATGTATTAGGCAAAATAGTCTTAGCACCGACCTTGATCTCATCTGAGCTGCTTTGTTCTTCGATGCAAAGCTGGTCATTTTTTCATGCAATCGCTCGCTTGCCTAATATAGCAGCAAAAAGATGGCATTATTTGTTGAAACATTCGGGAAAAGATAAAACAGTGATAATGAGGAGTACATCTGCTATATGCGAATGCCGAAGCTCAAGCCACACAGGATCATGATCTTCTAGTACTATCTCCTTTTTCTCTGGCGGACCACCAGTCTTACTGGGTACCTAGCATATGGTAGATGCTTCAGCATGTAGACAGGCGGGGAGGAGAAAAGTGAGACCGTTGACTGTAAGATTATAATGGGAAGTACCTCGAGAACATATTTGTTTCCCTCCATATCCAGCAAATCATGGCACATAGCATCATAAGTCCACTCGTGAATGATAGGAGCAATCTACACTTACAGTTTAGGGCAGTCAGAGAAGATCACCAATATGGACCATAACTGGTGAGTTATATCAGAAGAGCCATAAAACCTGATCCACCGATCTATCGACAATGAGCAGCTCACATGTTTCGGTCTGGGGAAAGTTTGGAATGGCTTTATATTTTAGGATACATTCCCAAATAGCAGCAGCAAGCTTTGATGGAACTGAGTCATGGGCTGCTGAGGATTTAGCAGCTTGATACCGGACAAAGGGAAGTTCCTAACAAATAATATGCGCATATTGAGATGTCAGAATATCAGATTCTAAAGAAGACATTTACCCAATTTTATTTTTGCACAAATTGTAAAAAATTTGGATAACTTTGCCTTTTAGCTGTTGTTTCAGGGACTCCATAGTCCATACACAGAATAGTTTGCCATAACCAAATCCTTAATCTATTGCAGTTACAGAAACTCCATTGAACAGGACATTTACCTTCAGTGAAGCAAATACAGTAGCAATTCTGGTCGCCATGGTGTTCAGACACACATTAAAATGGCGAGATTTCTCAGCATCGTCAACATAGAGAATATCCAATGCTTGTTCATGATCCGTTATAAAAGCCTGCATAGAAATGTGACCATTCTTGAAAGCAGTTTTCTTAAATAATCATGAATAAGTAAAATTGTTGCTGATGGTTTGATATCTAACTCCAAAATGTATTGGCTTGCTGTTCAGATTAGCTTATTCCACTAAAACAAAAGTTTCAGGCCTGGAGTTCCCCATAAAATAGGGGATCGACTATTCATGTTTGCAGATATTGACTGTTGGAGCTTTATAGACTGGGAATACATTGAGACACAATAACAGAAAGAATAGATGTTGATACCTGACTGTCTACGGGAAAGTACTCCATGTTCATCTGCAACAAGCAGTAACATCACTACTGCCTGAATTTGATTAAACGTACTATGAGGGTACAGAAAAGAACTACGGTATTTACCTCCCTTAATGCACCAATGCGTGGTAATACGCTTGAGTCGCTTTTGATGTGATTCACCAATTCTTTAGGGATAGGTGAACTGAAAAATATAAATGCCCTGGAAATAGAAATGGAGAGCAATCACATGATAAAAAAAAAATGCAAAACAAACATGATTCGCAAAATGCAAGATCAACACATCCGAGAGAATTTCTGGGACTGTACTTCCTGTACAGGGGTTCTCTTCCAGACATGTCTGATAGAAACATGACAATACTGCAACAAGATTAAAGACATAATTAGAAATGAGACACATTAATAGAGAGGCTTCTCAGAAAGCACTGAAAAGTGTGGTACAATTAAACTGAGATGGATGAATCAAATAAAGACAATAATTGAAAATAAGATGCAGGACGAGAAGAGGATTTCAGAAACAAGATGAAGATAGTCATGGAATGGAAATGTAAAGGTTTTACTTCTCTTTCGATGGCTGGATGAAATAGATTGCATCCATGGAAGGCATCGGTTCCCTTCTCTTAAAAAGTTCTTCTACCACTGTACCAAAAACCATAGTTTAAGGGGAGTTCAAATGAAGGCTCTACAAAGTTCAGTTGAGTGCAGGTGTGTAAGTTTCGATGCCCTCCCTGTATCCGTCAGGTGGAACATAATCTAGAGTGCTTTAACATGTTTCAAAATGGCTATATGTATATATGGGATCTATATCTGGAAGCACAATTGAGGCAGGACTAGGGAGCTTACAGGAAATCCCTTGATCCGTGATATCTGCCATCTTGCACGACTGAGACATTACTTTTACCGTAACTCTGTCCATGATAAGTATCTGCCACAAGTATTGAAAACAGATCAGAGATTAACATGGAAACTCGGATAAATTTACGGTCACCATGGTGAAGAGTGATGAAGCCTATTGAACTCCCGTCGAAAACCTCAGTTAGCTCATGCCCTATTATCTTCAGAATCACACGAATCACAAGAAAAACAAATTCAAAGAGAAATTTCTTCAACGGACCATTACCTTCACCTGGAAGAAGAATCCCATACAGACAAAACAACAGCAACCTAACTCACGATAAAAATTCATAAGGAGAGAGTAGTGAAATACACCTTCCAAGCTTTTGAAGCCCCCGTTTTCGTGGATCCAAGCATCTCGTACAATAATCCTGAAGCGGAGAGATCAATAATCAGCTACAAAACCATAAAATTAACCAAAGAGACATCTTAACCACTATGATTCAGGTCTGTAATCCGACACCATTCGTCTTCATCTTCGACATAAGTTTTCCCGGGAAACGAACAGAAACAGAAAAACAAAAAGTGCAGAATCAAAAGCAAACATGAAGCAGAACCCGGGGGGGGGGGGAAGAGAACTAACGATCGCGGCTAATCTGGCGGAAGAACTTGTAATCTCCTCCATCGCGGCCATGAGAAGACGACTCAGAATCAGAGAGCGACATAGATGACAACACCAAGCAGAAGATGGAATCGGAAATGGAAGCACCAGAAGACGATGAAAGAGATGGGATGTCATGAGAGAGAGAGAGAGAAACGTGTGTTTGGCTGAGCGAGGAGAGAGGGAAAAGGGGCGTTAGGAGAGGATGTTTTCGTCTTCGACATGACGCGCATTTCGCTCCACCTTATGGCTCACCACAACGCGCGCCTCATTCTCAAATCAAATCTCGTTCAACATATATATAATTTTTTATTTGAATAATTCGTTTTTTGTTTTTTATTAATCAAATCGCATTGAACTCGAAATTAACTACGCCTCGTTATATGTGATACAAAAACATGGTGCAATTCACTTTTCTTTTCTTTTTTTTGTGAGAATCAAATATGGGCTTTCTTATAGCATTCGGTTAAGTAGGCCCAACTATTAAAACTAGTAGGCTCTTATAAGGCCTGTAATTTATATTCAATAAGCCCAAATATCTTTGTGGTTTAGGGTTTCTTTCTCTCTCTGCTCGCCCTCATGGTCCTGACTCCTGAGGCGAGGGATATCGGCAAAGCGTAAGAATCCGCCACCATGGGTCGAATGCACAGCAGAGGGTTTGTCCATCTTATTCGATTCCTTCGTTCGATCTCATCTTCCGGTGTTTGGATTTTTGGGTTTTTGTGGTAATCTCTATCTCTTTTTTGGTAGTAAGGGTATCTCAGCTTCTGCATTGCCATACAAAAGAACCCCTCCGAGTTGGCTGAAGACCTCCCCTCAGGATGTAAGAAAGCTTCTATCTTAATTTATTAATTCTCTCGATTGGATAGAAAGCACCGGAAAATACCACAACGTAATCAAGAGCGCTTGTATTGTCCTTTTAATTGTGAGACGTGCAGTCGTGTGGAGAAGTAGATTTATGCTCTTGGGTTTTGTAAACTTTAAACGATAAGCTCGTTGTCTTCTCAGTCATTTTGTATGTTTTGGCTGTTTTGTGTGTGTATGTGTTCCGACGCCCTTCCAGGCATGAAACGATAAGCTCTGATCAAAGTTGACGTTTTGGTGTCAGATAAATGACGTCTGAGAGATCTTTTCTTCTGCGCAATCTCAATGATGCTTTTGCGTTCAAAATTTATGCTAATCGTAATGCATGTATTAGGCTTTATTTTCCTCTTTGTCCTGTGGAATTTGCACCAAGCTAGTTTGTTTATTGATGTGTTCGTGGCTTCCAGGTTGATGATTCAATTTGCAAGTTTGCGAAAAAGGGTTTGACCCCTTCACAAATCGGTGTCATTCTCCGCGACTCTCATGGGATTCCACAGGTGAAAAGTGTTACGGGAAGCAAGATTTTGAGGATACTGAAAGCCCATGGTGTGTTTTTAGTTTTGTCAAGTTGGTATCAGATTGACGACTTACTCGTTCTTTAAGAGCATTCTGTCTCCATTCCAGGCCTTGCTCCTGAGATCCCTGAGGATCTTTACCATCTTATTAAGAAGGCTGTTGCTATCCGTAAACATCTTGAGAGGAACAGGAAGGATAAGGATTCCAAGTTTAGGTTGATTCTTGTTGAGAGCAGGATTCACCGTCTTGCTCGCTATTACAAGAAGACAAAGAAGCTTCCTCCCGTCTGGAAATAGTGAGTATCCCCACCCACCTCTTGCGCTAGAAAACTGCTTGACTCCATTATTAAGCTGCATATTGATTTGTAGAGATCTCTTGTATGCTCTTCTACTGAAAACCCGATTGATGTAAAGAGATTACTGCGTTGTCACTGATTAACTGCGTGTGTATCCACTGCAATTTTATATGGGTCATTAGTAGGATCTGGTGGTGTTACTCGTTTGTCAATCTATCCCTTGATGGAGGACAATTTTTGGTTTAACATTGTCATTGGTTGCAAGTTGACAAGATCTGACAGTTTGGACTGTGTCTCATTGGGTATACATTCTATCTATCTGATTTTTGCAGTGAATCGACGACCGCCAGCACCCTTGTGGCTTAAGCGGCGATGGGAGAGACATCTGCTGCTTATTAGGCAGAAGGGTAACTGACTGTTTTGATTTGATGTTTGCCACTTTTTTTTTTTAATTGCCAAACCATGTGAACAACATCCAGAGTGGTAGATGGTACTCTACCATGTAATCGAATACGTGGGAAACCAACTTTCTAAACATAAATCCTAACAGAGACATTTTCATGTCGAGTAGAATAAAAGAAAGATTCATTTTTCTTCATCTTAACAACAGCAACATGCGTACGTATTTTATTGCAGAAGACAACATCCTTCAACCAGGCTGGTTTGAAACATCGACACTGGTAAGTTAACCTAAAGGAGCAGGAAATTTAGCAGATTTGAGAAACAATAAAATCTTTTTCGTTGGGTTAACACAGCAGCTAAACAACATAATCTCGAATGCTCGTCCTTATGGAGCATCGAATCAACTCACTGTCAGAGTGAGTGTTAAAAAAAGAAACAATCACAAGAATCTTAATTGACAAGGAATAATAATAATTTTTAAACAAAAAAAAAAACCCTTGCAGTGCCTAAGAAGGAAGGGTCAAGCAGCAGCCTTTTTTCCGACATTGTAGTAACCCAGATACCATTTTACAAACTTCTTCAGACCCGTGTGGAGATCAGTGGTGGGCTTATACCCGAGCTCTCCCTGTGCCAAGCTGATATTAGCATGCGTGAACTGAACGTCCCCATTCCTTGGCAACTTCATTATGTTCCTCTTCGCCTTCACTTTCAAATGCCTCTCCAATATACTCACCAGCTCACTCACTGGCACTGGCGACGTGTTTCCCAGATTGAAAACCCTTAACTGAGCCGCCCCCCTCTTCTTCCCTCCACTTCCCGTGCTCTTCTCTGCCGTGTCTAATGCTCCCACACACCCCTTCACTATATCATCTATGTACGTAAAATCCCTCGCTACCGTTCCATGATTTGCCCCCTCGAATATTGAAATCGCTTTTCCTTTCAGAATATCCCTTGTGAAGAAGAAATACGCCATGTCTGGCCTTCCCCATGGACCGTACACCGTGAAAAACCTCAACCCCGTTAGGGAGAGCCCATAAATATGATTATACGTATGCGCAATCTCTTCTCCAGCTTTCTTAGTAGCAGCATACAGACTAGCTGGTTGATCCGTTCTATCCTTTTCCGAGAATGGGACTTTGGTGTTCAATCCGTACACAGAGCTAGACGACGCCCACACTATCGCTGGCTGAGGATTAGCGGATTTACATACTTCAAGCAGATTCACGAAACCAGCGATGTTGCTATGAACGTACGAGCTCGGGTTTTCCATGGCGTACCTCACTCCAGCTTGCGCGGCCAAATGCATCACGTGGGTGAACGGAACGACCTCGAAGATCTTCTTCAGAAGAGCTGAGTCGTTGATGTCTCCTTCCACAATGAACACTCCGCTTCGCTCGAGAAGCGCTTGCCGAGTTCTCTTCAGCGATGGATCGTAGTAGTCGTTGAAATTGTCGAGCCCTAGGACGCCGTCGCCGCGCCGTTTCAGAGCGGCTGAGACGTGGGTGCCAACGAAGCCCGCCGCTCCTGTAACCAGAACGGAGATCCCGTTCCGGGTTCGTACCCGAGCCGAGGATCTGACCCGTTTCTCCCAATCGGGTCCTCCCCAACTGTACGTGCGGAGCGAGCGCCGAGAGGGAGCGGAGGAAAG